AAGAGGGAAAATATGAAATGTTGTTTAGTAGCAATTCCTTTGGTTAATGATGTTAATCAGTAGTAATAAAGAAGGAGCGTGCAGGCTGGAATAAGAAGACATACCTGGAATTGAATTCTCTCTCTGCCACTTACTACTTTTGTGACTTTAGGTCTGATAGGTAACTCATTGGAGCCTCAGGTTCCTCCTCTGTAAGATGGTGATCATAATAACCAGCTCACAGTTGCTAACTGGTGCAACAGTGTGCTCGAAGTGCTGCAGAAAAGTCAGTAATGGAGGCAGTACAGTGTGAATGAGGACAAGCAGTTAGGAGCAGGGGCCTGATCTTGGAGGTAGGCTAATGTGGGGCCAGGTGTGGGTTCTGCCCTTTCTCACTGTGTGACTTTGGGTAAGTTCCTGAACTGCTTGTGAACGTCATAAGCCTCATCTTTAAAATGGGGGAAATAATTATCTCTACTTTATGGTGTTGATTTGAGGATTACACTTCCCGGGAAACAGAAGGAGAGAACATTAGAGCTGAAAGGGACCTTACAAGGTCTCCTACCCTAATCACCCTCGCCTTCCACCACCACTGTGGGAATGTTATTTTTATCAACCCTGACTGTATTTAAACATTCCCAGTGACAGCCTGCTATCTGCTCAAGATGCTCTGTTCCATTGTTGGATCACTTTCAAGGAAGTTTTCCTCATACACAGCTGAAATCTGCCTCAATATTTGTCCTCTTCTATGTCCTATATCTTAAAAAAGCTTTGGTCTCTTTTTTGACTAATATTTTTGTTTTTAGGTAACTGTAGATTCGCATGCAATTGTAAGAAATAACACAGAGAGATCCCTTGTACTTTTACCCAGTTCCCCCAGTGGTAACATCTTGCAAATTGTAGTGTGATATCACAGACAGGTTATTGCATTGATGTGACCGAGATGCAGAACATTTCCATCATCTCTAGAATCTCTCGTGTTGCCCTTTTATAGCCACACCCATTTCCCTCTTACCACTTCCTTGACCCTGGCAACCACTATTTGTTATCAATTTCTATAATTTTGTCATTTCAAGAATGTTCTATAGATAGAAGCATACAGTATCTAACTTTTTGGCATTGGCTTTTTTTCACTCAGCATGATTCTGTGGAGATTCATCCAGGTTGTCGCATTTATCAATAGTTTGTTCCTTTTTAGTCCTTAGTAGTATTCCATGGTATGGTTGTACCACAATTTAGAGCAGGTGACCTTTTTATAGATCACCTTTTTATAAGGTCACCTGGGCTGTTTTCAGTTTTTGACTATTGTGAATAAGCTGCTCTAAACACTCATGTACAGGTTTTTGTATAAATATAAGTCTTCATTGTCTTCAGTCTCTGGGGTAAGTGTCTAGGAGTACATTGCTGGATCATAGGGTAGTTACAAGTTTTTAAAGAAATTGCTGTATTGCTTCAAGAGTGGCTATGTCATTTTATATTCTCACCAGCAAATGAGTGATATAGTTACTGTGCATCCTTGCAAGCATTTTCTGTGGTCTGTATTTTTTATTTTAGTTCTTCAGATAAGTGTGTGATGCTCTCCCATTGTGGTGTTAATCTGCATTTTCCAAATGGCTAATGATGTTTAACATGGCTTACTTGACATCTGTGTCTCTTTGGTGAAATGTCTTTGTGTCTTTTGGTCATGTTCTAATTGCATTCTTTGCTCTTTTACTCTTGAGTTTTGAGAGTTCTTTATATGTTCCCAATACTAGGCCTTTCTCAGATATGTGGTTTGCAAATGTTTTCTCCCATTCTGTAGTTTGTCTTCTTGAGCTTTTAACAGGATCTTCTGTAGTGCAAAAGTTTTACATTTTGAGGACGTCAACTTGTCAGTTTTTCCTTTTATGGACAGTACTTTTGGTATCAAGACTAAGAACATGTCTACCCTAGATCCTGGAGAGTTTCTTTTATGTGCTTTTCCCCCCCTATGTTTTATAGTTTTACATTTAATTCCATGATCTGTTTTGAAATATTTTTTTGCATAAGACATGAGACTTAGGTAGAGGTTTGTATTTTGTTTTGTCTGTTGTTTTTTTGCAATGAATATTCAATTGCTCTCACACTATTTGTTGAAAATCTTTTGAAAATAGCATATGACCTTTGGCAAGTCAAATTATCCCCCTGTTACTATTTCCTCTATCTTGAAAATGAGGGGCTGTGCTAGGACTAGATGGGTGTTATTCAAACTCCATACCTAGAATTTCTGGGGCCCCAGAGAAGCTCAGTAGCAGCAGCAATGAGAAGCAGATGGACTGCCATGCTCCTTCCTGACCTCATCCAGGGCAGAGCTCCTTTTGTGTTTTATATTTTTGTGGATCCATCTGATATTTGATTTAACTCAGGGCCCTGCTGCTAAAAACAAGTTTGGAGAGCAGTGGGTTAGGTAACGTCTGACGTGCTTCCCTGCAGTAAATTGCTGTGATTCTTAGCGCTTGGTGCCGGAACTCGCTTTTCCCTTACATATTAGCCTCCAATCTCCTCCCTTAGTTTCTTGAGTGGTTACTCATATGAAATGTTTTCCTTGTTATCCTACCATCCTTTATTATAAATATGATAAGCTTCATGAAATCAATTAACTTACACTTCATAAATCAGTTTACAAACTATATGTCAGAATTGAAAATGTGTTAAGTACATTAAAGTCATGCAGTGGAATATCCGTTTCCCAGAATTATTGTGGCTGAAAGGATAAGAAACTAAAATCACACAAAAGCCATGAGCCACTTTCTCAACATTGACGAACAGCCACCTCTGTTTTACCATTCAGCTGTCTAGCTCGGGCCAGTTCACAAAGCCTGGTCACTGCAGCTCACCACCACTACTCCAGCATCGGGAACCGTTTTGTACTCACACAGCCGTACAACCACATTTTTCATTTTCAGTACAACCCTCAATAAATTACATGAGATGTTCAACACTTCATTATAAAACAGGCATCGTGTTAGATGATTTTGCCAACTGTAAGCTAATGGAAGTGTTCTGAGCATGTATAAGGTAGGCTAGGCTAAGTTATGATGTTCGGTAGGTTAGATGAATAAAATGCATTTTGACCTATGATATTCTCAACTAACAATGGGTTCATTGGGATGTAACCCAATGTAAGTGATCTGTATGAAGGTTTCAATGGGTATTTTCCAAAAGTTGGCATTAGCTACTGTATATTTTTTTCTATAAAATGGAATAACAACATAATAAGCTCAAATAGTTGTTTAAAAAGTTAAATAGGGTTAATTGAGATAGTGCATTTGAAAAAAAAAAAAGTGTTATACTACAAAGTGCTCTCTGTTCAAAGGATGATTATTATTGGAAGCTTGGCTAGGTCCCTGAATTCTAGGAGGCAGCTGTGTGTGCTTGCTGAATCCTATTCATGGGAAATGTGTTTGTTTATTTCATAGTATATTATCTATTTTTCCTTTTAGTGCCCATGTGGCCAAAATCTGAACTCCATCTTAATAAGACTCAAACATATTTGACAGAGTGGTTAGACTTAATGGTTTCCATAAAGTTGTTTTAATAGTTATTTCTCAGCAGATGGACAGCTTACATTTGGCTGCATTTCTGTGACAGTGTGATGATTGAAGTTTTCAACAGATGGCACACAAATACTTGGGAAAACACCCTTCCGATATTAAGTGTTGTAAAAAAGACTTTTAGAGTGCCAGAAAAATGATAGTCTGTATTCCCAAGTCCTTAGCCTATGCTATTAGGATTATAATTTAGATGGCTTGGAAATTTCCCTTTCTGGCACTTGGATTTATTTTGTAAATGAGCATACATATCTATATTAGAGTGAGAGATGATGAGAAACTCTGCTGTCAATTGGAGATTCAACATGGATATAGCACTAAATCTCCTTTTGAGTATTGATGAATGTCTCTAGCTTCTGCCTGCTGAGTCATCCTACTTCCGTGCCATACATACATAGAAAATGTAACCTTCCATAAAAATCAACCGTCAGAGATTTATATGTTCTTTCTGAAAAGTATTGACTTAAAAGGAAAAAGAAAAACTTCACCAAACTTAGAATTTTCAGACATATTCATCAGCATGGTGAACTCCCCAACCTTCCAAGTTGTCTCACTTCTACAGTGGCTCCCTTACCCTGTTTCTGGAATCAGTAAGTAAAGAATCAGACAGTGAGTGAAGCAGTAGAGGAGTGGTGGAAATCTGTGGGATGTTTGTGGTTGTCACATGGCAAAGAGCATTTACTGATGTTTAGTGGGTAGAGACTGAAGTGTCTACTCCTGCACAGTAGAGTTTGACACAAGGAAGAAGTGTCCTGTTTCCTACAATATGACTGAATATCTGGCTGGCCACTCATCTGAGCCTGGAACTTATCTCTGGTTAAGTTAAATGATAGAGTAAGTTTGCAATATAAGGTATTTTTTTGCACAGAATATCAGTATCCACTCATTCCCTGTTTGTTGATTTTACTGTGCTGATATATGAAAGGCTGAAAGACTTCTCATCTTCTGCTTCTGAATGCTGACTTTTTCATGCTAAGTAAGTGCAAGCATATGGACACTTTATTATAGCTTTTGGTACAGTCACGGACTTAGTGTTTACATAAAATGGATATTATTATAAATTTATTTCCCCTTTCTATTCCAAAGAGGGCACCCTATTAATCCTTCTGAAATTTTGTATATAGGTAAATTATATTATGTATGAATTTCTGGATCTAAAGAGAGAACTACAAAATGCTTAGTATTGTAAAGGAGCCCTGGGGTTGATCAGGATGAGAAGCATTGCTGTAGAAAATTAAGCAATTAACAGATAAAATTCTTTCTCACGTCTTTTTCACTTGTGCGCACATAATGGAATCATTCAAAGAAAAGGACAGTGGTGTGAGTTTAAAGTCTTTAATAAGGAATGCCGTCCCAATAAATTCTGTATCCGTATACTTCTATTGTAGTCTTAAACGGATTTTCTTTTGGCAAGTCATGTCAGCTAGATCTTCTTTGTGTCTGTCATTGCAGATGGCGTTTAATGATTGTTTTAGTTTGAGCTATCCTGGTAAGCCCCAGCCAGGGGACTTGATTGAAGTATTTCGTTCTGGCTATCAGCACTGGGCGCTGTACTTGGGTGATGGTTATGTTATCAACATAGCTCCTCTAGGTAAGGTTTGTTTCCAGCAACTCCTGAGAGCTTTTGAGTTTTCTCGAAATGAAACAGGACGAAGCCAGAAAGGGAGACAAACCATAAGAGAATCTTAATCTCAGGAAACAAACTAAGGGTTGCTGGAGTGGAGGGGCGTGGGAGGGATGGGGTGGCTGGGTGATGGACATTGGGGAGGGTATGTGCTATGGTGAGCGCTGTGAATTGTGTAAGACGGATGAATCGCACACCTGTACCCCTGAAACAAATAATACATCATACGCTAATTAAAAAAATTTGATTGGCGTATCTTAAAAAAAAAAAAAGAAGGAATCATGAATGAAGTCATGCAATAAAACAAAATAGAAACAAAATATAGAAAGTAGATAAATCTATCTGAAAAAGGTTTAGGGAAGGGCATACTAAGACCAAAGTGGCATTGGATAAATCACAAAGACCAATTAACATTAAGATTTAAAACCTCTGGATTGGAAAATAAAAACACAATTAAAAAGTAAATAATCCACTGGGGAAAATATTTGTCACAAACATAATAAGAGTCGTTGTCTTTATATATCACACAAATTATTTCAATTTGTTCAACATTTATTTATAGATTACCCAGTATATGCCAAATGCTACTCTAGATGCTGGGGATATATAAACACCAAAATCCCAACAAACGAATGGGTAAAGAACTATGAACAGTTTGTAGGAGAAGAAAAGCAGAAGCCAATACCTGTCTTTAAAGGTAGTAATCTAGGAATTGTATAATAAAATAACAGATATTATGACTATCACATTAGCAAATATTTAAAAATGATAGCAGTCAGTGTGGATAAGGCTATATGAAATCAAAACAAGGATACTGTTGAAAGAAATGAAATTCACTAACATCATTCCTGAAAACAGTGTAACAATGTGTATTAAAAGTCTTAAAAGAGTTCATGTGCTCTGACCCTGTAATTGTACTTCTATGAGTTTATTCTTCAGAAATATTTATAGAGATGTAGAATAACATTCTTTATAAGAGTGTTTACTTCTATCTCATTTATAACAGTTTAAAAAATAGACAATAACAAAATAACAAGTTTGGTGAGGATGCGGAGAAAAAGGGAACCCTCCTGCACTGTTGGTGGGAATGAAAACTGGTGCAGCCACTGTGGAAAATAATATGGAGGTTCCTCAAAAAATTAAAAATAGAAATTCCTATGATCCAGTAATTCCACTACTATGTATTTACCTAAAGAAAATGAAAACACTAATTTGAAAGGATATATGTACCCCTATGTTTATTGCAGCATTATTTACAATGGCCAACATGTGGAAGCAACCTAGGTGTCCATCGATAGATGAATGGATAAAGAGGATGTGGTATATACACAATGGAATATTACTCAGCCATAAAAAAGAATGAGTTCTTGCCATTTGCAACAACATGGATGGACCTAGAGGGTATTGTGCTAAGTGAAATAAGTCAGACAGAGAGAGACAAATACCATATGATTTCACTTACATGTGGAATTTAAAAAAAAAAATCACAAAAATAAGCAAACACACAAGCCAGAAACAAACTCATAAATACAGAGAGTGAATGAGTAGTTGCCAGAGGGGAGGGATAGGGGGATGGCTGAAATATGTGAGAGGGATTAAGAGGTACAAAAAAGAAATCAACAGTGGATTAATGTTCAATAGGGGACTAGTTAAATGAATTATGACTTTGCCACAGATTAGAATATTCTGTGCTTGACAGAATTCTTTAGTTGCAAGTAACAGAAAACAAACACAAATTAGCTTAAGCAAAAAGGCAAATTCATTGCTTCACTGAAGGAAACTACAAAAAAGGATAAAGATGGTCCTGGCCTCAGGGATGCCTGCATGTAGGGGTTTGAACATGATTATCAAGCCTCACATCTGCATTTTCTTTCTATATGTTGTCTTAATTCTCTCAGACAGTGTCTCTCTAGGAAGCTGAACCAATAACCATGAATATCCTCAGGCTCTCATTCTTACACTCCTGTGACACAATAGGAGAGAGCTAATCCCTGCCTGTTCCAGTAGGAAATAGCATGGAGAATAATCCTAATTGGTCTAGTGTGGATCCCATGCTCATCACTGGATCATCCCTGTGCCCAGGAGAATGAGATACTATAATTGACCCACGCAAAATCTTTTCCAGAAAGAAAGAGACAGTTGTGGGATGGGGTGCTAGATAGGCCAACAGCTACTATAACGACCATTAAAAAACCTTATTTCTGGCCACATTTAATTGTATGAGAGATAATCTTGCATGATATTTATTTGAAAATTCCAGATTAAAAATGCAGTATGTAGTATCATACCTAGTTTGCAAAGAAATAATATATACACGTGAATGCACACATACACACGCATCTGTATACATGTGTTAATAACAGACATAATAGAAGTACATCAAAATAATAACAGTTAATTCTGGGTGGGTAGATAATGGGTGATTTATATCTACATATTTATGTGGTTTTTTCTGTATTTCCTAAATGTTTAGAAATAAGCACAAATTAATTTTTTTAAGAAAAAATGTATGCAATTAAATTAGACTGGAACATTTTTTTCTTCAAGATACCTTTAAAAAGAAGTGTTAATAATCCTAGTCTTACTATTTTGGAAACATCTGAGAATTTTTAATGGAGTGGGTTTTGCAACATTTTGAGATATTTGCCTCTTGTTCTAGAGTATTGGAAATAGAAATGGCAAATAAAGTGACATTTATGATAAAGAGCCATTAGTTTCTGCAGAGTCTAGTGATTAACATTAAGCAATGCTACATTATTTCTGCAGTTTTAACATCTAAAAAATAGTAAAGAGATTCTTCTGTTCTTACTTTCATGCATTAAGCTCCATATTAATGTGGTTCTAGCATGGAGCTTTGATCCTGTAGACTGAAATCCAGTTCCTGGTTCTGTTGTTAACTACTCACATCATATTTTGCAACCCAGTTTACCTCTCCACACTTCAGTATCCTCATCTGTAAATTGATTGCATCAGACTAGTTTTTTTAAATTTTAGTAATTCTAACTAGGAGATATATGCTTTGAGAACTTTCAATGTGTAAGATATTACCTGGAAATGCTGCTTGAATGAAAAGGAGCTTGGACGGTAGGAAAAAATGAGTAGAAAAAGGAAGAGTGTCTAAACACCAGTTATATGGAGACTCCCCCTCTCATGATTTACTTGAACAAATAGCCAAGCATAGCAGTCTCGAGCAGATGGAGAGGGACCAGGGCCTGATGTTAGAGCTGAACAATCATCTGTCCAGGCTCAGATACTGACAGTGGCAGCCGGAAGACAATGGTCCCTGGCAGTCTAGGCAAATGCTTGCCAATTAAGGTAGCTAAAACAGAGTGGCAGGAGGTGGGGCATGTAACAGGTGGGCATAGCCTGGGGCCACATCTAGTGGACAGCAGCCACTAGGTTAGGTTCAGTTTCAGGACTTGAAACTTTCTTGGCCAAAAGGAACTGTCAAGACAAAAGCAGGGCCCCAGTTGACCCTAGCTGACCCTTTAGAGGACTGAGATACCATGCAAATTTGGACCCAAGTTGAAGCCAAGTTGAAAGGACAGGTATAAAAAGCAGAGGAAGGGATAAGGAGCACAGATTTGACACTGGGATGAGCTTACTAATCATAATGCACAACTGTCGAGGTCCAGAGATACTAGTTTGGAAGGGTTCAGATGCTGAAAAAGAGCATGTTTTATAGAAAAAGGTGGACAGTGATCTTAGATGTGCTATGCTAGGAATATATACCAAGATCACTAACAATAATGCCAACTGATAGAGATCTTATTCCTCAAGAGTGGTTAGTTTTCTCACCCAGTCTGCTCTATGGGCAGATACAAATTTTCAAAGGGTTTCCTTATATTCTCACTCGTATTGTATTAAGTGTTATTGATAAACTACTGAATGAGTTGTTCAGTCTGGCAAGACTAAGTGGCCTCTGGTTTGGTGATAAGTTAGGAACAGAGCTTCCTTCAGTGGCTTCAGTGACTCCATCACTTCCAAGGGTGAGGCATTGCAATTTTATGGCATTGGGGTTCACTGGGTTGTGTCACTCGATCTTGTTAACCAGAATTCTCCTTATAGAGGATGGCATTTCTGCATCATTTACAAGCGCCAAGTCTGTATTCAGCAGGAAGGCCCTGGTGAAGATGCAGCTGCTGAGGGATGTTGTGGGAAATGACACATACAGAATAAACAATAAATATGATGGGACCTACTCCCCTCTCCCTGTGGAAGAAGTCATGCAACGGTCAGAGACGGTTATTGGACAGGAGGTGGAATATGACATACTTGTCAACAACTGTGAGCATTTTGTGACTTTGCTTCGTTATGGAGAAGGAGTTTCAGAGCAGGTGAGTTTTCTTTAGAAGATATATAAAAAGCTTCTTACATTGGAAAAATAATAACTACTGACTATAAGATTCCCAGGCTGCAAACAAAATGAAAAGGACAAGAAAATATGAGAACTCCAAAGGATAAAGGAAAGAATCGAGTTGTCCAGGGTCATGTAGCAAGTTAATGGCCAAATTAAAGCTAGAACGTGGACATCATGAATTTGGGACTGGAAGGGACTTGAAGCAGAATCAAGACCATAGCTTTTCTGTCAGTCTTAGTGCCCTTTGTCCTTCAGGGTTTGGTTTTGTTTTGCTTTCTTTTCTTTTCTTTTCTTTTCCCATTTCCCTGCCATACAGCTCTCTCAAATCAGTAACCTCACACACTGAAAGGAACATTCTGAAAGGAATGTTGACGTTTTTAAGTGGGAGTTCATTCGCCAAAAACATAGATGGTAACTCTGGGATTCTTTTCCATTAGCTGAGAGAGGCCAACTAATGACAGACATATTTTGGTGGGTTTGAAAATGATTTCTGTCTCCTTGCAACGCTAGTTTCAAAGGAATTTTGTGCTTTTAAGCAGATCCTTTGATTCATTGAGCTTTTGGATGATTTTTTTTTTTTTAAATGGATCGATTATTTTTAAAATAGCATGCAATGTTGTCATTTCTCACACTATTTTGTAGCATGGCAGATTCCTAACTAAAACCGTGCTTGATTCATTTGCCTTCTTTCTACCTATCATACCACAAATCCAATTCCAACATTGATGTTTTAAACTAAAGATTTATTAAAGTGATATAAAAGAATGAATAAAGGTTCCCGGTATCTTGAAACGGTTGAATCCATTATATAAATGTCTATTCTAAGGAGTGAGTTTACAATTCTTCTCACAGAAGCTTGGGAAGATAGGAAAGGGAACATAATGAAAGGATACATTTGTTTTCATTAGGAAAAAATTTAATTAGAAATTCATTTTTACTAGGAAATACATTAACATAATCCATAATGAATGTTCTATTCACATGTAACAATAAATTGCTTCTGAACCAGAACAGAGGATATCCACACAAATTCCTGCTCACCTTCGCATTGAAAACTAGTGGTAGAGCTAGGAAATGGAGTCCATCCCTCTCCTTTGTAAATGGTAAAGTTGTCCGCTGTGTTCAACAATTTTTTTTTAATGTGGCTTAAAAAAAAGGATTAGAACCATCTTTTTGCTTTGACTCTAATTAACAATCCCTCATCTTTTCACCTTTCATACCCAGAATCAAGACCCATGAAAAATTAATCATTCCTCAACAACTAGAACTGTTCTCTAGCAGGTTCTGTTGAAGACAGTGACAGGCTTTAGAAGCCATCTAAACTTTGGAATTCTGCTGACTGGAGCTAGAACCTCCTCTTCCCCAGGTGTTAGCTGGGTGGTTTAGGGAACATTGTTTATCAGTTTCCTAATCTATAAACTGAGGTTTGGAGGATTTTGGAGATGTTTGAAGTCTGTTAGCACACTGTATTACATATTATCCATTCCCGAGCCAGTAAGACTTAGATGAGTATTATTTTTAATTACAATATTTTAAGAATTTTATACATCTTTGTTGGTACTCTTCAATAAAATCTTCTGATAGAAACTATAGCACTTGTATTATTATTTTCATTACTATCAATAATTAATAATATTATTACTAATAATAGCTAATATTGGATTCATTTTGGATCTCCTCATGGCTTTGGGGTCTTGAGCACAGAACTGTTTTTTGGGGGGGGGATGGCTATGTATTTCTCCTAATTTAAAAAACTGCAGATGCATTTAAAAAGATTAGAAAGGTGGAAGGATTGTGGCCTCATCTTTTTCTTGTGCTTTTCTGTATTTAAAAAACAATAATAGACCTTACATTTTAGAGCAGTATACAGTTCACAGCAAAATTGAACTGGAAGTTTAGAGAGTTCCCCCGTAGCTTCCCCATCAGCCATGTACACAGCCTCCCCCACCATCAAGAGTCCACATCAGCGTGGTATACATGTTACAAAAGATTAACCAACACTGACACATTACCCACCAGAGTCCATAGTGAAGAAGCCAGAATATGTCACCCCAAAATATGTAGCATAAGGATTATTTCGAGCTGAAGGCAGTTGAGAAGCAGACCCTAAAAGTGGGACATACATTTTCAAAGGTGTCCCTCTTCCCTTCTCTAGCAGGAAGGACAAAAGTAAATCATCCAGGACAACCAGTGGTTATCGTTAAGATTCTTCCTAGCCTGGAGAGGACATCAGAGGAATCTAAATGACAACCTTAACTAACTAGCCTTTGTCATTAGTTTCCCATATATTTACCTTCCCATGGTCTGCTGCCCCGGGAAGCCTAAAGCTGCTTTCTTTTGTCCTGTCATTACTCTACAAATCTATTGTTCTTTTTTGAAGATGCTATATAACCCTGAATTCTAATCCACCTCTTTGAGTTACTCTTCCCTGAGTTTCTCCCATGTGTATATATATGAGATGAACATGTTAATAAACTTCTTGGTTTTCTTCTGTAACATTGTCTTTTATTAGCAAGCCTCAGCTGAGAAACTAAGGTGGATACAGGAAAAATTTTGCCTCTCCTAAAATAGTTTACATTAGGGTTCACTCTTAGTGTTGTACATTCTATAAATTTTGACAAATGTATAGTGACATATATCCATCATTACAGTTTCATACAGAATAATTGTCCTGCCCTAAAATTCCTCTGTGTTTTGCTTGTCTATTCATCTTTCCTTCCCTCTAAACCTCTGGCAACCATTGAGCAGTATGCATACTAAGGAATATGCATGTAAAATTCCTCCATGTCTTTTCATGGTTTGATAGCTCATTTTTCTTTATCACTCAATAACATTCCATTGTCTGGATGTACATTCACTTACTAAAAAACATCTTGGTTGATTTCAAGTTTTGGTAATTATGAATAAAACTGCTAGAAACATTTGTGTGAAGATTTTTGTGTGGATATGGATTTTCAGCTCCTATGGGTAAATACCAAGGAGCATGATTACTGGATTTTATGGTAAGAATGTTTAGTTTTGTAAGAAACCACCAAAGTGTCTTACAAAGTGGCTGTACCCTTTTGCATTCCCACCAACAGTGAATGAGAGTTCCTGTTTTTCCACGTCTTCTTCACCATTTGGTGTGATCATTTTGGGGTTTAACCCTTCTACTAGGTACATAGTGGTATCTCATTGTCTTAGTTTGCAATTCCCTAAACGTATGAAGTTAATCATCCTTTCATATGCTTCTTTGTCATCTGCATACCATATTTGATGATGTGTCTCTTGAATTCTTTTGTCCATTTTTAAATTGGGTTCCTTGCTCATTTTCTTTTTGTTGAGTTTTAAGAGCTTTTGCATATTTTGAATAATAGTTCTTTATCAGATCTGTCTGTTGGAAATGTTTTTTTCTAGTCTGGCTTGTCTTTTAAAAAATTTAAATAGACATTTTCCACTGTTACAGTCTTAACAAGGTATTAAAATGTGCTTATCTTTGTGGAAGATGGCAGTGACCTTGAATAGGCCTGGACACGCTGACCTGTGATACACCCTGACTGTGCTTCAGTGCATAGCACTGTGGCCTTAGAGTCTCAGGGGAAGAAGAATTTTGATAAGCCCTGCAGTCATCTGTGACCCAGCTACACTATGTCAGGACATAGCACTCCAGATTCAGTTAATGTTTCACTGGGCAGGTATAATCCTCAGAATGAGTCCTTTATTATCCCACAGTCGGAAAACCCTGTAAAGGATAAAGTGTGAAGAGTCAGCTTAGGTGATTTTATAATCCTAAGTAAGTTGTGAAATAAAAGCTCTTGTTCATAATAGTTCACTGAGAACACTCTGGGATGTTATATTCTTGCAGGTCAAGTCCCATTACACATAACTCCAAGAGATTGTCTGAATTACTCAGAATTTTGCCGTCTAGATTAAAACTTGTAATAAGTGTTTGGGATTTGGGAAACTGACTACACTGTAGGAAGTAGCTTCCTTGTCATTGTATCTGGCCTATGTGCTCTCAGGGGATTTTGGTTTAGGATCACATTTCTCTCCCCAGGCCTCTTAGATCTGTGGGATTTCTCTCACCTCTTGTGTTTCTAGTGGCTGAAGGAGACCCAGTGGGTTAGGTTTGCATTTAGCTGGGGCCACCCTACCCACAGGATCCTGCCACTTTCCCAGACTGTCATTTGACTCCTCTTTCTAAAGACACCCATTGCACCTTCCTCTTTGTTCATTTCCTGCCACATTTGCCCATATCAGACCTTCTTGGGATCTCAGCATCTGCCTGAAATTATATGAGGGTTAGGCTTGATTTATAATCCTCGATACCTCTCTGATTATTGATTTTGTCCCTCTTTGGAATTTTGTCCTATATTTTATATCTTCCTGTCCCTTTGGCTCCCCATGTGCTAAGTGGGTAGCTCTATGCTGCAGCAAATTCTGACTCCTTCCTGGGAAATAACTTAGGTGGTGACTCATTAAAAAGTATGAATAAAATAACCAGAGTTAGAATTGTAAACTAAAATAGGATTTGTCAGTTGTTTGCCAAAGCCATTCTCCCTGGCAACTGGGGATGGTGGCAGAGCAGGGAGCTACAATGACAGGCCTTGTACCTACAGACCACAGGATGGTGTAATGGAATGAATACTCCTGTCATTGTGCTTCTTTCTTGGCCAGGCCTTTGTGGTCTGTTTCCAACAGGGAAGCTGCAGTTCGGGAGGTAGCACTATGTGGCAGTCTTGTGGGGGTGGCAGGCTATGTGGGGGAGGCCTGTGGGTTAGACAGAAGGCATGCTCAAATGTGAGCTGAGTCAGGATTTCCAGCGTTTGGGTGGGTCCCTAGAATCATTTGGGAGAAATGTTTTGCTTTATTTGAAAGCCTGATTCTTAAATCCCGGAGAACAATGGTTGTTTTCAGAGTACCTGATGACTCTGAAGCATCTGAATGTGAACTTTGGGTCATAAAATTGCACTCAAACTCATGCAGATGGAAGGCAATATTAGCTGAGTGCCATGAAAATCATGAATATTCATTAGATCCCTCATCATGAGGATGATTAATACCTTTAAAGCTATAAATGTCTGAGCTCCTTTATGGACAGTTGAGCTTGAGAGTGGTTTATTTTAGTTTGTCTACATGAGAAATTAATTTTTGACACAATAGTTAACATCACTATCGACTTCTTTTGAAGGTTGTTTATCAAAATAGAAATTTTATCTACCAAATAAGAGCTTCTAGGTATTTAGCTTAGATTACATCTCTGAATTATTTTTCTAGTAGACATTCTCAAGTCAGGAAACACACACACATACACACACACACACAAATTTTTCACCCTGGTATAGACCCAACCAAACCAGTGTGTGTTTAGGAGGTAGGGATTGTTTAGAGGGGAAAAACATGGTTCACGACTCAACCTATATCTAAACATCTTGCTGGTATGACCTCAGGCAAATCACTTAACTCACCAAGTTTTGCAAAACAGGAATAATATGACCTCCCAGATGTACTACCATGATTATTAGGAATTGTGCCATAATGAGTTACAAATTGTTGGGGGCCATAAAAATATGAGGAATATATATTTATGTGTATTTAACTATATCTTTGTCATAATTATAAAAATTATAAATTTATTTATGCTTACACAATTCAATTTTGCATGAAGCTTTAAATTTATCCTTTGTACATTAAAAAGGTCTTCAGTTTAGGAAACAAGCTAAAGTTTGGGTTTAGGACAGAGATGCCTTTAGAATAAGATGTGTTTTTTGTTTGTTTCTCATTTCTTTATAGGCCAACCAAGCAATAAGTACCATTGGGTTTGTGGCAGCTGCTGCTGGTGCCTTTTCACTCCTGGGCTTGTTTCCAAAAAGACAAAGAGCAAAATACTATTAATGATTTACTGAAGAGATATTGGAACTGAAGGAATTTGTGAGGAGGGGAAAAAAAAACTGGGATGAATACTTATTTTCAATGCATCATTATTGTTCCAAATTCCAGTGATGGATGGCAGGCTCTTTAATAAATTGCTTACTGATATTATCTCGTCATTGAGCCATGGAAATTTTTCTCCCTACTAGCAAAGATTTGCTGTGGCAGCTTAAGCAAGAAGCAGTAGCCTTTTGAGCAAGCCAGCAGAGGATTTTAACAAAATCACATCATATTTTATCTTCTACCATAAATATTGTTTTCCTTTTTCCTGAGGGTGGCTATTTTGTACTTGCCAGAGGAATGAAGAACGTTTATATGTGATTTTAAAAGAAATGTTAAGAGCCCCAAATTGTTGAGATTGACATCTAACTTCATATTCCTTTTCTGGTCAGAAAAGAAACTGGGAAATTGAGCATTTTGTTAGGCAGTTTGAGGAGCTCTGATTAACAATCCATTTGAGAGTGCCCTCCCATCTCCTCCTAGTTCCTGTGTAGATGCAGGTGGAGTAGATGGGAGACAGCGTTCTTTTCTCCTGTGTTTTAGATCCAGTGATTTCCCTGGGAGTGACTCATTTGTCAGGAGTGTGTGACAAGCAAGAGTGGGCTGTTACTTCTACAGAGCTACATTATTCCCTTTGGATTTTGAAGTATTTCAAGGGTTTGACCCTTTTAACCTTAGCAAGAGATCATTTAATGCAGGTTTAAAGTGCCATATTTAGAAAACAATATCCCGTGTTACTGTTTAAGGCTTTTACTGTAAGTTAAGGAGTGTCATTTTATTCTTGTATTTTATTGATTATATGTTGAATGAAACAAATTCCTTTTTAATATGTTCCCAGTGGAATTCTTGTTGGCAGCAGGTGGAGAAAAGTGAATGCAGGTCTCTATACCCTAGGATTGTATCAGACATTACAACATTACCCTACAAACCACACAACTAGCCAATGACATGGCATTAAATAAAGGAAAAGTTCAAGTAAGTGGGGCTGGGAGGGTATGATCAGGGGACTAGGAATGTGGTAGATAAAGTAAACAGAAGACTCAATGAAAGTCTTGGACCTATTAAGCTGATGTAGATTTTACCCAAGGGACAGAAATATTCTATGGTCTAATTGCAGCATTAAGAGTAATGATGACAGAAAGGGTAATGTGCTACAGTCAGGGCCAATAGAGACCCTATCTTTCTTCCTTGTGCCCTGACTAATCTCTTTTCTTTCTTATGATACCAATTCTGTCTCCAGATAACCCCCAAATTCCCCCTTCCTCCACTGGTCCTCTGGGAGGTGTGAGTGTCTTCTACCAGATACCATGGTCCAAAATGACCCCTTCATTTTTATTCTAAATTAAGTTTCCTGTTCCTTTTATGTTCTGCATTCAAGTAATAGTAAAAAAACAAACAAAAACCCCCAAAAAACAAAAAAGATTTTCTAAGATTGTCAAATAAGGGTGAGATTGGTAGCAGTTTAATGTGTTACCTTTCCCAAGGTGTACTTACCTTTCAATAAAAGATGACTGCAGAGGGCAAATCTTACCCAAGGCAGGAGACTCGAGTGTGGTGGAATTACCATGCCAGCCAATGGGAGAGGAGAGGGAGTGGAACTGGAGCAGAGAGGACCTCCTAGGATCCTCAAGTCAAACCTTTCTAGAGAATTCTAGACATATCCACTCCAGAAGACAGTCCCAGCTATGCTATGTCACAAATGCACTTTTAAATTGAATTCGAGGATACCTTTTTCACATAGGTAATGTTCAGACTCCATTGGTTTTCACCCTGAGAGGAAAGCTCACAAAGTTAGTCATCAGTCTTCCCATAAAAATGGCCAGTCTTGATGATGGGTAGCTTAAGACTATTTGTTTACGTTTCCTATAGGTAATCATTGATATGTGGTCATGCTCATTGTGCTTTATCAAACATTTATTCCAAGACTATTGAGTACTTTTAGCAAAGTCAAGTGTAGAGTTCAACTTTATTATGTAACCCTCCACACACAGAAAGGTGTATGAAAAAAATATCATCATCTATCAGATAACAAATAGGTTATTGGAAAAATTGGGTGGGAGAAGCTATACATTTATTGAATAAAGTTTTTTAAAAATCTTTTTATGTTATCTAAATGTCATGCTGTATCAATTGAATCTCTGATTCTAAAGGTCAAATTACTAAATACAGATGTGCCATTTCAAGGAACCCGAGCTGTCATATATTTTAGGTTGACATATATTCCTTAATCATAATCTAAAAATCTTTTTCATCTTTTGATCTTTCATTAGTAGTTACTAAATTAAACACATTTAAAAATTATCATTCTCCAAAGCTGTGCACCCAAGAAAAGGTTAAAAACTGAGGGTTGCTGGAGTGGTGGGGTTGGGAGGGATGGGGTGGCTGGGTGATAGACATTGGGGAGGGTATGTGCTATGGTGAGCGCTGTGAATTGTGTAAGACTGCTGAATCACAGACCTGTACCTCTGAAACAAATAATACAGTATATGTAAAAAAAAAAAAGAAGAAGAAGAAGAAGATAGCAGGAAGGGAAAAATGAAGGGGGGGAAATCAGAGGGGGAGACGAACCATGAGAGACTATGGACTCTGAGAAACAAACTGAGGTTCTAGAGGGGAGGGGGGTGGGGGGATGGGTTAGCCTGGTGATGGGTATTAAAGAGGGCACGTACTGAATGGCGCACTGGGTGTTATATGCAAACAATGAATCATGGAACACTACATCAAAAACTAATGATGTATGGTGATTAACATAACATAATAAAAATTTTTTAAAAAGCAAGTAAAATGTAAGTATAAAGGGTTTATTCTTATAGGAATTGGCATTTATGCTACTGGCTTGTATAACATAGTATATAATAATATTTAGGGTAATGCATTGCTGAAATGTTAAAAACATTTTTTTCAATCCTAAAGATTCCAGAATTGTAAAAGCATTATGGAATCCATACATCACAGTATTAGGCACATAATTGGCATTCACGGGATGGAACTGGCTAACTAATCGCCTGTGAGCCATTAAAGATCTGTTAAATTGGCAAAATCAGATTTATTGTTATAAGGAAAGCCTAGTAGCTAATTTAAAATGTTCACTAGGGATATATGTTCTCTCCGGGTCACAGTGACGTTGATATATATTAAAGATAATAATGTGCAGAATATATTTGCCGAGGATGTACCTTTTCTTGTGGCCATTAATAATTGATTTAGATAATGAAAAGATGAAATGGAACTTAAGGTTGTTTAGCAGCTTGACGATTGTCATGCTGTAGATACAAACATTATGGGTCCCTTCCCCAGGATTGTTTTTAAGATGAGCAATGCTGAGATTGAATCAACTTTTCAAACTAGAGCTTGAGGTTTAATTTGTCAGTAGCAAAAAATAAATAGAAGTGCCATGCTTCTTTAAGTGAAAAGTACATTTTAACAGGTTATCCCAATATCTTTGTGATTTTCTTGCTCTCTGACCCCAAAACAATACACTTTGGGAGATGCCAACGTTGGTGGAGTTTGCTTAGATATAAGTTGTGCCCAAGCCAAGATTATATGCAATTAACAGACATCTCCATCAGTCCCCGCACCCATACTTACTATAGTTAGAGTCGACTTTTCTGAAGTAAATGTCAATTCTTGTTTCTCTGTTAAAGCCATACAAAAGAAGCAAAAAGAGGAATTTTGTGACCTTGGGAAAAGATATGCACATAAATGATCTTTGCAAGTGAATATAAGGTTAAGTAAACTTGTGATGATTTATTGAGGCTTTCCCCCCAAATTCTTTTATTTCTGGAGATGAAAATAAAAATATATTGGTGAAACTTTCAAACATCAAACTCTTCCTCAATTTTCCTTTGTTCTACCTATGTTTACTCTTTAATTTCACTACCAAGAGAACTTGTGCATTTTAGCCAGGATAATGCTATGCAATGTGAATAGTTTATTAGAAAAAAAAAAAAAAAAAGGTAATCCAGGACATACATTTCTTTTTCCTCAGTAGCAGAGGATACAGTCCAAATAGGCATATTTAAGGTTCTCTTTTGCAAGGTTCAATACATTGATAATGCACTTTGAATCCTCCGATGGAGAGAGAAAGGATAAGGATAGACTATCATCACTTCTCCACATGGGTTTAGTTTCAGGGAACAAGGAGATGGTGTGAAGCATGTACAACAATGATTCTGATTACAGCCTCATCCAAAAATGCTGTTCTGTGGTTTGACCTCCCAATTCAAGTTTTGCTCTTGGAATCTGTTCAGGGTCCTCAAAGCTGAGGTTGATATAGAATCCATTTTCGCCATCACCTGAATAATCTGTTCTGTGTGTGGGAGGCCAGGTGGAGTCTTCTGCCAGCTTTTTTTGCCATTTCCTATATTGACTTTTAGAAGAGAATCCAAATTCCTTTTTGATCCATAGCCAGAGCCTTCGGTTTTGAAGGATGACATCCTGAGAAATCAGGAGGAGAAAACAATCAAACTATGATTCCACTTTCCCCTTCAGCCAGGTTGCTCATCGCTGCGCTCTGTTCCCCCAGGTCTTCCTCTGAGATGTGCTTAGTACCAACGCTTCTGTGGCAGCTTCTCCTTCCTGCTGTCCCCATGATGTCTAGCAGCTCCCCTGGTTCTTTCCCTTGAGGAGGAAGAGTGCTTGTGTTCACAGGAATCTGCCCAAAGCTTACAGTCTTTCATTTCTACAGATTTCCTAGTTAAATCCTGGCTGCTGATTCACTTAGAATTATTTTACTGCCATACTGAAATGATAACAAAATAATGTACTCAAAATCAAGGAGAGAAAAAAAAAAATCACTGCTACCTGCCACGTGCCACATAGGAGGTGCCACGCAATGGTTTGCTGAATGAATGGATGAACTCCAGAAATAAATGTGTTTTGCTTTCCATTTGGGGGGGGGGTGTTCTTTTTTTTCTTTATAACAGAAATGGTCAAATTTTGCATTCCACTTTCGGTTATGCTAGACTTCCTGTCGTGTACAATTTGTAGCTACGGTCTTCTTAATAATCACCTTTAATGATCAAATACCATTTTTTTCAAATTGCTGTATAACTATTTAAACAAACAGCATCTCTATTTTTGAACACATGAGTTGAATTTAAAATTTTACCACCAGAGATAATACTATAATGAATACCTTCATACATGTAAGTTTTATCTCTCCTTTTGGATTATTTAAAAATTTATATAGTCTCAAAAATGGAATTCCTTAAAGAGTATGAGAAATTTTACACTCATTGTATACAATTTTATATATATGTGTGTGTGTGTGTGTGTGTGTATTTTTTAAAATTTGGTTGATCCCTTTTCCCAAAAGACTTACATGAATCTTTTTTTTAACTGTCCCTTTAAAAAAAAATAGTGCCTGAGCCTTTCACTGAGTAAGTGAAGTCATTTAGTGACACTGAGTAGAAGAAAAATGCTATAGAGGAAGACTTTCAAGGGTAAGAATTGACTAGAATGAGCAATGGCTTCCTTTCTCTCTTAATAAAGGAAACCCTTCTGAAGATAGTTCTTCAGAAGGTAGGGATATTTCCTACCTTCGAAAGGTCTCATTGAATTTTAGAGCTGGTAGGTCACCTGGTCTCGTCTCTACTAGCTTATGAGAACACTAGAAAAGTACAATACAATGCCTTCATGGGAGATAAAATTAGAGTTAATTTGATGTTTTGCTTTCTATGCTACAGATCCAGAGAGCACTTCTATGCAGTCCTTAGAGAATTTTAAATCACTCTCCAAGTAATTTCCCCCAATGAGAACATGTGCAGTTTTTACAAACCCTTAATAACTATCACTTTTGGGGACAAAAGATGTTGCTCTAAAAAACAGGCATGTGTTGAAAATGAGACCCTTTATTTATTTCCCCAGAAAGAGAGTAAGAGACATATAGAAATCACTTTACCTCTACAAAGAAGGCCACACAGAATTGGGTGAGGACTACCACCAAAATTGAAACCCTCCATGATGTCAGGGTTGGGATGAGCTGTTAAAAAAGAAATACTACCTTTATGCTTTGCATGTCTTCCATTTTGAAAAGTATTAATTATCTTGTTTAATTTATATATTTGTAACAACTCTCTGAGCTTGGATGGTAGGCATTACTTTCTCCACTTCACAGATGAGGTCAGTACCTTGTCCAAGGATTCAAAGCCAATCAATAAATGGCAGAGCCAGAATTCAAATGAGAACTGACTGCCCCTGGGCCTTTGCTCCCTCCACTGAGGACAAGAGACATTCAGTAAATGTGCTCTGGGTCACAGACATGAGACAAAACACTTTGGAAACAGTGTGTCTCTCTTCAGTTTTATCTTTTCAAATATAGGGAAGAGAATACAAGATGAGGTCATTCATCTAATAATACTATTACTTCTAATCCTCCCAAAGTAAAATCTACTTGGAGTTCATTCTTTCAGTAAAACTGATGTATGAGTAAAACATAAAGGGGACAGAGGTTCAAGTTACTTTTGAAACTAGGTGAAAATTTTCTGAACAAATGGCCCCAACCCTAAATCTAATGGCTTGATGAAACTTGAACCCACCCAACCCACCTCCTTTTAAGGATTGAAGGGTATATACTGACCACCAAATACAATTAAGTAATAGGTGTAAACACTATAACTTCTCATGCTTCATCAATAGCAAGAGACTATTCACACAGTGCCGATCTGACCCAAAGTAAAGGATGGGGACTGAGCTGCCTTTAGGACTACCACAGACCCTTCACAGTGTCTAGATGCTCACCTGCAATTCTCATCCCTAGTCTGATATGGGGTATTTCAAAGTAACACTTTGTTATTTTTTCCCCCAAGTAGAGACAGCCTTTCTTAGGGTTGTGAGACACAGCCTTGGTGCAGGGCTGTCTGGAGAAGGCTGTAAGGTGTGGTAGGGGGTCAGATCCTAGCGGAGAACTTGGCCCTTGCCTTCCCTGTGGTCCCTGCCCTCATCTGGGAGGTCTCTTCTCCATCTCTTGGCCTGGAAGGCACTTGTCACACTGCTTTGAAATCATCCGCTTGTGGGATGGTCTTCCCTCCTAGCCCCTGAACTACTTGAGATCTGTGCCCACATCTTACTCATCTTTGGAGTCCCAGTGCCAAGCATGGGCTAAAGCTTCATAATGTCTTATAAGTGACTAAATGATCTAGGTTTTCACTTCCTAACTGTGTCTCTGTCCACAGCCTCTCTGCTCTAGCATATAGCCTTCCTGCCATCATCTAATTAGTCTGTCCTTAAAATCCCTCCTGAAAAACCTGCTGGGATATCTTCAATGACTCCCTGTTGCTCTCAGAAGAGAGCTCAATCTTCCCTGGCCATCTTCATCCAGCGATGCCTTCCTCACATTCCACAGCATGTTGCCTCTGCCTTTGCCAGTCTCCCAGGTATTCTGTGAAACAAGTGTGGCTTTTGATTTTTATCTCTGCCACCCTACATTCTTTTGCATTTCCAAGACAAAAGAGATTCTTTCAGTCCTCTGCTTGTGCTCAGGCTGTTCTCCTGGTTGGAAATATCCCTACCTTCTACCTAGCAAAATCTAGCCTATCCTCTGGACACAGATCAAGTTGTGCCTCCTCCATGAAGCCTCCCGTGACAACCACAGGCCCTGTGAGAGCTCCTCTTTCCTGCGTTCTTCCCACTTCTCTCTATGTTACACCCTCTTCAAGCATGGGTGGTCTCACATAGCCATGTCATCATTTCTCTTGGGTGGAGCTCATCTTCACAACAAAACTATAGATTGCAAATCAAGAGTCAATCCTTCTCTTTGTTTTGTTTCTCCCACAATGCTGGTTCCAAGAATGGTTTCAATGACCTCTTCATAAATTTTATTTTAATCCACTGCACCCTGGATTAAGTGATGTCCACTGAAATAAAACTCCCTGCAGTCGATGTTTGACAGACAGAACATGATTGGCCTGTAAGTCTACTTTTTCTTGCTCCTTACAACTACATTATAAAGGATTGCTACTATATGTTAAAATAATTAAACTTGAAGAATTAGTTATTTTGTTAATACATTAATTTATTATATTAGTATAACATGGAAGGATATAATATCCACACATAGTATTTTAGGTGTGAATAGGATAAATGTTCTCAACTGATAATATAGATCATCTGAAAACAATCAGAGGGTCGCATATGGGAGAGCCAGGTAAGTTATTTGCTGCTCTAGTAAATAGAAGAGCCCCACAATATTAAATGATCAGAGAGAATATGGTAATAACTAACTTGCAAATTATGGTGCAGATATGGTCCCATCATACATATGAGTCACTGCAGATGTGATAATGAATAGCTCTTACCTCCATTCCACGGTATATATCTTGAAAGTCAGAAAACAGAATGAAAACTGTGAGGCCCAAGGCAGACATCAGCAGAAATGAAAATATATCTGAAGAAACACCAAACATTATTTTTAGATGCTGAACGAATGTTTCATATAATTTGGCACACATTGAAGAATCAATGATTTCTGTTGGGCAAATACAGGATACATCCTCATATGTTTTGATATATCCTCATATGCTTTAAAATATGTTCTAATGCTTACAAGACAAAGGCGGTATCATAACATCTTTCTTTGAAAGGCGAGGTGCAGAAAATTGCCAACTACAGTAAACTCCAAAAAGGAGTCACATCAACTGAGAAGTCCAAGGGGGCCAGGACAATCTGCAGGGACCAGCTTACATAAATGCTCACCAGAGAGGCCCTGATGCTTTATTACTGCCTAGCTAGTGAGTCGTGCATGAACAGAAAGTCGGTCCTCTTGGCACCACTTCATTCTTCGTTGTTGCCTAGAGAATAAGGTCCAGGGGTCTTCGACCGACATTCAAGGCCTTCCACAATCTGATTTCAATCTGCCTTTCTGATCTGCTCTCTGATCGCTCTTCCTTACGTGTCTTAGGGAAGTTAAATCACATACCTGCCACCTCCATAGAGGTCTTTGTTGACAACATACCCTGTGTAGGTGATATTTTTCCTGTCTTGGCAAGTTCCAATTTTTCTTAAAAAGCCCTATTGAGATATCACTTGCTTTTTAAAGACTTCCTAGGCATCTCTTACAAAGTTTTATTTCATATGGCTATGTACCACTCTGCTTTGCAAGATCTTCCTTTATGTATCTACTTAAAAGTGACTTTGTATGTGCTTTTCTAGGACTCTGAATTGAAAGAATGAGAAACTCTCCTGTACATCTGCTGAGTTCTTTCTCTCCAACTGGCCCAAATGGCTTTGCTTTCGGGGATCTAAACTTTCCAGGATGCAATGGGCCAACACCACTGTTCTTATTCCTCCAACCCCACCCACACCTGTGTCCTCAGAGCTCTTAGGCACTTTGTAGATGGAGCCTTATAAATGCTTTTGATAAGATTAGCACCTTCAGGCCAAAACAATAGCATTTAATCTGTGTTGCCATGATATAAAGGATTCTTACAAGCCTTAAAGTTTATAAACAAACAAACAAACAAACTAGGTTTTCTCTTATATTCTCTCTATCTCATTTATTCCAGTGTTTATGGTCTGCCAGCCCCCAACTCTATATAGATCTCTACCAACCAGAAATCAGAAGTAACTGCCCCTCTATCACTGGCCCTATTTTTTTTTTAAGACATCAGAGTTCTGTTTTTGCCCTTGTGCACCAACATGTGCCCTCATACTCTTCCAAGCTTCACTTTAGATACACAACAAGATGCAACACCTCCCAGAAGAATACTCAGGCTTGCTTGGAAGGGGCGTGAGGCAGAGAGAAGAAAAGCACGTGCCGCAGGATTGCTTATTTCCCAAAATAAAGTGATCTGAGCAGCTTGGTGATAAGAAAAGCCCAGGAAGTGGCTGTGTGGAGTTTTCATTTATTTCATTATCTCCATGTCCCAGGGACCCAGCTGCTGGGAAGAAGAGGATGCCCCCAAATGACAATGCTGATGAAGGCCCAGTCATCACAGCAACCGAGCTGAGTGCTGTGCATATCACATTGTCCTTAGATTGATGATCTGAAAAGTAGGCCAGGTGGGTGCACAAATGACCACTGTGGAAGCAAACTCTTAAGGCCCTCATTTAATTTAGCTTTGATTGGAAAACACAATGAAGAACTAGATGAATGTTGCCTCCCCTGATCAATTGCTATTGATGAGGAAACTTGAAAGAATGGGAGAATTTGCACAATTTGGAAAGACAAGTCAGAGCAAACCACTACACGTTGTCTTCAGACAAGGAAGGGGATGGGATCGCAAATATTCATACCTATTTCCATAAAACTTAAATTTGTATTTTTCTATATCTCATCATCATAAAGTTGATATCTTGTCCAAGGCTATTAAGAAAGGTACAAACTTGGGGGCGGAGCAAGATGGCAGAGGAGTAGGAGACCTGGATTTCATCTAGTCCCAGGAATTCAGCTGGATAGGGATCAAACCATTCTGAACACCTACAAACTCAACAGGAGATCAAAGAAAAGAATAGCAACAACTCTCTAAACAGAAAAGTGACCACTTTTTGGAAGGTAGGACGTGCGAAGAAGTGAATCCGAGGCGATATTCGGGAGGATAGACGGCAGGGGAGGGGGCCTCCGTTGGCTGCTTCTGGCAAGTGATAGAGCCTTGGAGCACAAAATCAGAACCTTTAGAAGTCCGCTCTGCTGAGGGACGTAGCTCCAGTGGCTAAGCAGGGAATGGAACACTCGCTGGGACAGTGTGGTCTCAGGACCCTCGGGGTCACAGAAAGACCGGGGGTGCCTGAGTGTGGCAGAGCTCCCAGGTATCGGAGTGGGGAAACCGGCTGCAGAGACGGAGCTGAGGCGTGGGCTCTCAGCTTGGGGTTTCCATAAACCGTGATCTGAAGCAGTCGGGCCCCTGCTCCTCCAGCAGGGACCCAACAAGCAGCAGATCTGGGGAGACTCCCCTTCCTCCCCCCGGGAGGAGTAGCGCGGGAGTGCATTGCATGGATCTGCTGGGTTTGGAGACTCCACACGGGGTCGGGTGCCAGAGATAGAAACGCTCGGTCGCAGGCCGGGTGAGCACAGAGTGCGGCCGGAGACCGGGGAGACGGGAGTGACTGACGGCTTTTCTCTGGGGGCTCACTGAGGAGCAGGGTCCCAAGTTCTCGGCTCCTCCGGGGTGGAGATTGGGGGTCTGCCATTTTCACTCTCCGCCTCCAAAGCTGTATGGAAAGCTTGCAAGGAACAAAAGCTCCCGGGAGCAAACCCGAGCAGATGACTTAGCCCGGACCGGCAAGGGCGGGGCAATTCCACCTCGGGCAAAGACATTTGGGAACCACGGCAACAGGCCCCTCCCCCAGAAGATCAGCGAGAACAGTCAGCTGTCTTTTTTTTTTGAATTTTTCTTTTTCCATTTTTCAACCAACATCTTGTCAATCCCTTTTTTAAAAAACATTTTTATTTTTCATTTTTAGAGTCATATTCTATACCTACATAGTAGTTACCCTTATTTTTGGCATATATATATAAGTTGTTCTCTCCTTAAAATTTTGAGATACAGTTTCTTCTAACAGATCAAATATATCCTAAATCTCTAGTGTATGGCTTTGTTCTAGTCTCCTTCCTGATCACATTCTATCCCCTTTTTTTCCTTTTTTTTAAACCCTCTTCTTTCTTTTTTCAAACAACTTATCTTATCAATTCCTTTTATAAAATTTTTTATAATTTTCATCTTTACAGTCATATTCCATCCCTTCATTGTATCAACCCTTATTTTTGTACATATATAAGTTTTTCTTTCTTTAAAGTTTTGGGAGGCACTTTCTTCTAACAGACCAAAATACACCCAAAATC